CAACTAAGTATTATACGTGCAATGAACCCCGACAATCATGTGACCCGAACGACTCTCACACTAAATGCTTCTCTCTCTAGAGGGTCTGAGTCTTTCCTTCCCTCGGTTTCTCTCTCTAGAAAGTCAGGTCATACTGTAAGAGCGGGTATTTTTGCAATCTCATATATTTCAGTTGCTGTTGGTCGTTGCGATTATTTCTCACATTGATAGCCTCTCTCTCTCCTCACTCCTTCTCTCTTTCCTTCATGTCCTTCTATCTCTCCTTCATGTCCTTCTCTCTCTAAAATTGGCTCTGTACCCATTTCCTCCCTTCTGATAACATTCATAAAGATGCTTGCTTTATGCAGGGCCATGAGCTGAGCTGCCTGCTCTCCCCTTCTCTCTCTGTTGCTCTGCTCTAATTTTGGGCATTTTCTTCTTTTGGTTTCGTAGAATTCAAGTTTGATCAGAGAAAGGAAGGGGAACCCAGTGGGGTTGTGCAATTGGTGAGCTTTCTCGTCGGATTTGGGGACAATGATTCATGGTGAAAAAGTGGGTATTCCGAAATACATCTTCTTACGTAGATCTTCTTTCCTGATCTGAAAGGTGGAGAGAGGGGGGTTACTGAAAGAGAATAGTGTGTCCATTTCCTGAATAAGTAAAAAAAATTCAAGTGATTGCTGGCAAAATTTGGCAATCTGATTGCAGATTGTGGATTAATCTGATCAAAAGTGAGTGAATTTAGTGATTTGATTTGGATAGCGAATCAAAGGCCGTGAAATTGAAGGGCGTTTGCGACGACGGATCCGTCAATAAATAAGAGTGGGGGGTTGTATTGTTCATCAGCTGTTCTGGAGTGCCTACTAAACATTATCAGGGCCCTGAGAATGGGTTCCTGCTTGTCTGCAGAAAGCAGGAGCCCTCTGCCCGATTCGCCGTCGTCTCCCTCCTGGGGAGTCCGGCGGCGGAAGAGCTCGAAGAAGAGAATGGGCTCGAGAAGTTCTTCCTTTGATTACCGCCGGGAAGAACGGCTGCACAGAATTCCCGAGAGAATGTTCCTCAATGGGTCCAGTGAAGTTGCATCTTTGTTTACACAGCAGGGCAAGAAAGGAACCAATCAAGATGCCATGATTGTGTGGGAGGTAATTAGCTCTTTTACTTCACTCGGTTGTTTTCATTTTCTATATATTTTTGTGCAGCTTAATTAATATATTAACTGATTGATCATTTTATATCTGGATGTAAAATTTACCTGTGCAACATTTTATTTCTGATGTCAATCTTCAGCTTTTGTGCTTCCTGTGATTGTTCTTAAAGAAAAAATGCATTCCTTTTATCCGTTTGTATTAGTTGGCTGCAGTTTGTCCAACCTATTTTTCCGAAAGATATTATTATCCAAACTAGCAAGCCTTAGTTCTGTGGTGGCAGTTGAATTCCTTGTTTGATCGTTTTCCTTAGCTATCGCAAGTCCCTGTTTGCAGAGCAATTGGGTCACCATCATTGTCAATGTGTTCATTTGGCATATATTAACCTTCACTTCAGAAGTTTGATCCTTTTTTTTTTTATCCGTGTTTTTAAACTGTTATATTTTCTATTCATGTTTGATCCTTGTTCTCTGCATGTTACGATTTGAGATTTTGCTGTGATATATGTATCTTAAGAGGTAACATATCCAGCGGTGAACAGTGTTATTATTGTCTAAATTTTTAAAATATGGATTTCAGAATTTCGGTTCGAGAACAGACACAGTTTTCTGTGGTGTTTTCGATGGGCACGGTCCATTTGGTCATATGGTTGCTAAAAGAGTGAGGGACTCTCTTCCTCTGAAATTGAGTGTAAACTGGGAAGTGAACGTAGTCAATGATGAAGTTCTCAAGGAGATCAGCCCCAACACTGCAGGAAGCTTGAATTCAGATGATACTGCTTTTTTATCTGTTGATGAAGATTTCAGGTCCTCCGTGGATGTTGACGAAACAGAAAAAAACCCTGAGTTCTTTCAGACACTGAGAGAGTCCTTTCTGAAGGCTTTTAAAGTTATGGACAGGGAGCTGCGAACAACACCAAGTATCGATTGCTTTTGTAGTGGGACAACAGCAGTAACTTTGATTAAACAGGTGCTTTCATATGCCAACTTGTTCTGAGTTATTGTTTTCTTTTTGGTGATGTGTTCATCTTGATCATGCATGTATTGGTGTGTTTCTTAGGGTCGGGATTTAATCATTGGAAATGTTGGGGACTCCCGAGCCGTTCTGTGCACGAGAAGAATAGATGACACTCTAAGTGCAATTCAGTTGACTGTGGATCTCAAACCAAATCTTCCAGGTATCACTCTTTCTTCCACCTGGCTCCTCCTCTCTCTTAACAGTTTTCAGTTTACTAGTTTTTGAAATTTGGTTTATGATTTTGGCAAGACCTGATCTGGTCACATTTCCAATGATGCTTGATACATGAAAAAACTTCAAGTTGGGGGTGTGTTTGAAGTTCCCAAAACACTTTGTTCTGTTGTTAAGATGTTCAGATATGAAATATATTTTTCATAGACTTGACCCTGTTTATTTTGGCGTAGGATTTATATTAGAATTATGACTATATTCACGTTGTTTTTGTCATGCCTCGGTAGTTTCTGAATCTGTATTGTGAAACTTGGGGCCAGAAATAATAGAAATAACTTCTCATTAATTATAGAGAGTGAATTTTCCTGATACATTGGATAATGGCTTTCATCTACATGCAATAGTATGCGGGGAAGGCATACTATGGTCAACTGTGATCTGCTTACTAGCTTCTTGTGATTAAGTTGTTTCTTCTTACCTGCTTTTTCCCTAATCTTCCTCACTAACAGCGGAAGCAGAGAGAATTCGTAAGTGTAGAGGGCGTGTTTTTGCTCTTCAGGATGAACCTGAGGTTGCTCGGGTCTGGCTGCCAAACACTGACTCTCCTGGACTTGCCATGGCACGCGCTTTTGGAGATTTCTGCCTCAAGGATTTCGGCCTGATCTCTGTACCAGATGTATCCTATCGGCGTCTCACAGAGAGGGATGAATTTATAGTCCTGGCTACAGATGGGGTACGTAGCCAGCTAATTTAAGCTATTTACAAAAGATATATATAACATTTCCTTTCCTTTCCTTTTCCCCCTTGTATTACTCGTGCTCTTGGAATTTAAGATTAAAACTTTCTTGGCAGATTTGGGATGTCCTCTCTAACAAAGAAGTGGTAGACATTGTAGCAACAGCCCCAGCACGTTCTTCTGCAGCTCGAGCACTGGTAGAGACAGCAGTTCGAGCGTGGAGACAGAAGTACCCAACTTCCAAAGTAGATGACTGTGCTGTAGTTTGTCTCTTCCTTGACCTAGACTCAAACACAGTATCAACTGCTGCTAATAACGGGTCGAAGGAGAAGGAGCAGCCTACTGCAGCGGGTGAGGTAAATGCTGAAGAAGATCTCTCGGAGACAGCTTCTTTGGTGCACTCGGGGACTGTCCGAACTGCCGAAGAGATCCTTGCAGACGAGGAAGAAGACGAAGAAGACGAAGAAGAAAAAGGAGGAAGTAAGGAGAATGCTGCAGAGGATATGAATTCGGAACCAGGTGTAGAGTGGTCAGCTCTGGAAGGAGTTTCTCGAGTGAACACATTATTGAATCTGCCTAGGTTTACGCCCACAAAAGAAGACAAGAAGGTGTGGAAGAAGGTTTGAATTCCCTTGCTTGCTTCTCGAATCCTATCATAATTTTGTTTTGTAGTATTTATTATGTTTTCTCTTCTTCATCTTCTTTTGCCTTCTTGTCTATGTTATTCGACAACACATAAGTGATTGGTAGGGTCAATGAAAGTTAAAATTTTGACCGGAGAGATCGTGTGGGGGGTGCTCCCGACTATATTAGCAATGTCTGGGAAAATTGGATTTTTTTTGTAAAAATCCAACTCGCCGACTATTTTTGGGATTTTGTTTTTCTGCTTACAAAAAATTCATGTATTTCGACGTGTGGATAATAATTTTGTGATGATGAATGAATGAAGGCTCGTCTTAGTTTTCAGCTCGAATTGTCTTTTGTTTCTATTTTCAGCAGTGCCTGTCATGTTCAGATGTACACACTTTGCAGTTGTAATGTTGCTCCAATTGCAAGCAAGATCTTTTATAAGCCAATTAATTAGCTTTTCTGCAAATTATAAGTTGTGTGTTGTTGTTGTTAGTTAGTTAGTTAGTTGGCTGAGTTTTGAATTTGCATTTAATTTGGCAATTGATTGGTGGAGATATCTTAAACCGTGGGGTTGTCAAACATCTGATGGCCAAAAATCTCAGCTACTCCCTTGTGGTAGTTGCCATCATCCAATCCAAGCCAGGTTGGTTAACTTGGAGTCTTGGTGGCCTGCCCTGTCAGTCATTCCTTCCCTTTACTTTTGACTTTAGGAACCGAAGCTTCCTTCCACCATATCTTTATTTGTCCCAATCAGAACCTGACTAGTTTCATTCATTCCAGAAATTCAATACAACTCTTCTGCAATTTCCAGAAATTTACTATTTATTTTGTGAGGGTTGATTTGAGTTTGTTTATGAAACGATGACGACGTCGGTGCATATATTATTGTTGGGGAGGGTTGTTTTCATTGGTTTAATGCTAAGGAACTTAATTTGATCTGATAACAAGGTTAGATGTGGTCATGGTTTTAATTATGCCTGTCTCACTCATAATTTTTTAAAAAGAAGAGAAAAATATTGAAATTCTTGGTTGGTAATCACTTGATAATCAATGATTTCTTATTTTGTTAAAAAGGAGACCCGAAGCCAATAAGGCACCCCGCTTTGCGAGAGTCGGATAGGGGAATGTCTATTGTAAGCAATCTTATTCTTATGTTGCAAATTAAGAGGTTGTTTCCAACACTCGAAAAAGGTTGCTCTTTTTGTTGCGCCAAGACTCGCCTTTAGTAATTTCTTTGATATTGTAAGACTAAAGTTGAAACTCAATGGACTAATGGACTGGTCTTTCAATGAATGGATACATAGAGAAATCAAAGGTGAAAAGTGAAAATAAAAAAGGAACGGCAGTTGCTTGAGCTTGGTCGATTTCGTCGCATTATTGTCAATCAAATGGGTTTTCCGTCCAAAAAGCGTTGAAAGAAGTCGAGTGCCTCCCGTGGCTTGTATTCCGGGACAGTGTGTCCAGCTCCCTGCATATATTTATAGATTTTTCTTTAATTTATGAGAAAAGAAACATGTATATACTGCAATACTAATTCATAGTATACTAGAGAGAGTGCATGCAGACCTTGACGGTGAGAAAGGTGAGGTTGTTTGCATATCCTTGTAAGTAGCCAGCAACTTGGTCGTCAGAGGAGAGCCAAGGTCTCCATTCATCCACAATCTTATATCCAAGTGATGCAGTCCATGCCTCGCTCCCAGTGTACGGAACACACATATCATGGTCTCCACTGCATATTTAATTGTGTTTTTTAATTCACTTTTACAGTTAGAATTTGATTAATTTGTTAATAAATTATTAATTACCTGAAAATAAGTGCTCTATAACCTTGGGTTGTAAGGTTTTTGTGGTAAGGGATCATACTTCCAGCATCGCGTGAATAAGTTATTCTATCTGTGCATAACTCCCATGGACCAGCCACACTTTCCTGCTACACATCATTCATTCATTCGTTCTTTTTTTCTTTTACTTAGATCATTAACTTATGCAGAAAAAAAGAAAAAGAAAAATCAAGCAAAGCTTACTGGTTTTGCATGAATTGCTTCCCTAACTTCTGCAGTGTTCAGCCATAGCGTTGCGACTTCATCATTCTGCAGAAAAATTTATTAATTAATATCCAAATTAATTATTAAAAAAGATTAACCTAAACTAATTAAATTAAGTTTAAGAGTAACTTACAACACAAGGAACACGGGAATTCAGCGTCTTTGCGAGCTGAGGCCACGATGGGACAATGCCGTCTTCTACGTTTGCTAGAAAAGGCCAGGCTCGGCCAAACATCCTTTTCCTCACTCCCAGAGGCTTCTCTGTCGTCGTCCCCAATTGTTGAAAGCTTAACGGTAAGCTGCTTGTATTATTTGCTTTGGAATTCTTGTTATTATCTGTTCCAGGGCCATGGTAGCAAGGCTCAAGGGTGTCGTAGATGTTTAGTCCGTCAAGAGCCTAATTAATCAAATAGTTGTGTTTAGATTATAATTAATAATGTGACAAGTTTGAATCTAGTTAAGTTGAATAAAAGAGCTACAAATTGCACCTTGTTAAATGGTTGAAACTTTTCGTTGCATAGACTACGATTGGAAGGAGGAATATTAAGGAGGTCAGTACCACAAGTAGCCATAATTTCCTGCAACATACAGGCATCTCAGATATTTGCCTCACACGTACTTTTGGCAGTGGAAATTCAGCAAGGAAAGCCGAAAACGAAACATAATGTGTGTGAGTAAATTACGTGATCAGTACTCTAGCCAGCTAGCTACCTGAAAGATTTGTTCTGAAATGAGACCCATCCCATGAGCAAATGGGACTAAAGCATTGGCATCGAATTTTCGGTCTGCGACTCCATTCCCCACCAGGTAACCCTGATTACACACATTACACTTAAGTTTTACTACAATTAATAATGTGGTGAAATAAATCAGTTTATATAACTTAATTTCGCAGGTCAGCTTGATAGAATACGCACCTTCAGATTTAAAGTTGGTTTTGTTCCATTTTTAATACCTATACATATATATAGAAAATGCAGCACATTGTTACAGACTAGAAGTTAAATCCAAAAGATACATATATACATATGCAATTAGTGTAATGTTGTAATTATGTAGACACCAATTAACTAATTAGATACCTTTTGCAATTTGAGAAGCAAGAGTTGGCACATAGACTCCAGCATAAGACTCTCCCGAAATGTACAATGGGTTTGGTTGAAACTCTGGGAATTGCTGAAACCACTATGGTTACATAAACAACATAGAGTTCTTAGCAAAAAATAGAAGAAGAAAATGAAACGAAAAAGAAAAGATACAGCAGCAAAAATACACAACATTGTTTTTTATAAATCAATTACTTAGACATTAATCTCCTTTATAATCAATAAGCATATGATATGTAAAATGATCAGTCATTAGAAGTAGATTAATTAATTAGGAAAATAAATTAGTTACCTTGAGGAGAAAATAATGGGTATCATATAGGAAAATAAATTAGTTACCTTGAGGAGAAAGGCATGGGTATCATAAGCAGTTTGGATGTCCCCAGTTATATATTTGGTTTGATTTTGAGAGTAAGAGAACCCAACACCAGCAGGAGAATCCAAATAAATTATATTGGAGACCTGATAATTATTCAATTAATTGGTTACTAATTTATGGCCAAGAAAAAGAAATTGATGATAAAATAGTAAGGGGAAACAAATGGTAAGCTTTCCACATGAATAATGTTTAATTTGACTTGCCTTGGACCAGCTATATGGATTAAGATGCAAAACAGGCAATGCTCCCTTTGGTTTTCCTTCTGCAAAATTGAATGGTCCTACATATACACATAATATTAAGCAGAAATTAGGTTTGCATTCTTCATTTTTCTATTTCATTGATTAAAACCTAACTCATTTTTAATATTTTTTTATCAATGCTCTTTAACTTTTATCTAGGTCATTATTTCAATAATAAAAAATATTTATACTTAGTACTGCGGTCTAGTGGTATTCTTCTTCACTTGTAAGTAAGAGGTCTTAGGTTCGATTCTCCCTGAAGGCGAATTTGAACCACACTATTGCTAGCTCATTGTGAGGCTAAGTTCACCCCTCTCCCCTTAGTGTAAATAATATTGTTTGTTTGTTCAAAACAAAACAAAAAAAAAAAAATTTACACATAAGCATATTCAAATTTTAAATTAAAAATGATTTAACTATTTCCAAATAGATCCATTTCGTGATAGAAACGTTACATTTGATATATCATATTTATGACTAAAGTTTGTATTATATATTTCTATTTTTAATGTACCTATTATTTAATTTGCAACCATTTTTTTAATACGTACCAATTTTCTTTTTAGTTTTAGTTTATACCCAAATATATATTTTTTGGTCCCATGTTTTTAAACTTTCATTAGTACCCATATTTTTAAATTTTTTTTGTACCCATGATTTGTTTATAGTGCACTCCTTTTTCATAAAAATGTACCACTTTGTTATATATATATATATATATATAAAAGTAAAATGTACCAATTTCTTATGTAAAGTGTGCCTATTTTCTCAATGTAAATTCTATTCACTTTTTTTTATTTATAATGTACACATAATTTAAATTAAAATGTACCATTTTTAATTTAAAAACATCAATATTTAAAATAAAAATAAAGCATTTTAATTTGAAAAAAAAAATCTGATCAGATTTCACACAATATTCAAATTTGAGTAAAAAAATTAAAAATTCCTATTTGGTATTAGTATCTACATGATTTTAAGAATGATTTAATAATTTTTATTATTAAATTTCTTCATTAATACAAAAAATTATTATTTTGTTTGTCAATCAAAGTATTCAAGTTATTAATATAGGTTTCACTCTAAGATTTTAATATTAATTAAGTAAATTAACCTGAAAATCTGATCTTATATTCAAAGTTAATGATGTCACATCAATTTTTTGCCAAGAAATAATAAGATTTTGTCACATTTCACAGATTCCAGGTGACAGAACTTGAACATGTAGGGTAGGTATTAGTTTTACCATGTTCATAGACAAATCCGTCGAAGCTAGAGCAGCCAGGTCCACCATTGAGCCACAGAACAACCGGATCACTTTCTGGGCTCTTTTCTGAAACTACGAAGTAGTAGAAAAGATTCTTTCCATCTGTGGTTATATATCTACAAAGTAATTCAACAAATTCCCATCAAATTATAAAAGCAGTAGTTCTTCTAACATATTCAGATATATACGTATTATATATATATATATATATATTTGTGGAATTAAATAACTGAATTACCCAGAGTAGTGCTTGGATGGAAAGGTAGCATTAAAACCAGGAAGATGAGTGACAAGAGAGCTTCGAGGGGCAGCCTCAATTATGTTGACGACCAAACTCACAAAAAACATGCAGCAGAGTGAGAGTACTGAGAATTTGGCCATGGCTGCAATGCCTCCTTGTAACTAATCAAGAATTTCACAAGGACCTGCAGTTTCGTAGTAATAAACTTATAGTTGAAAATAAAGGGTGAAGGGAAAATTCAGGATTCTCTAAATCCAACTTTAATTACTTTATTCTTATCCATTCACGTATTTATAAAATTACAAAGGAGTAATACTAGGAAATAAATCAAAACAATCTTTGTCCAAGAAAATCTCATCAGATTATCGGACTACAAAGGAGCAATACTATTAATAAAGAATATGGACTTTAAATTTTTTTTTTTTTACTTTAATTTTCATTGTGTGAAATCTCATCAGATTTCCTTCTTTTTCTAAATATTTAAATATGGGTACCTTTAACATTTAAAAATGCTAATAATTAATTGCATTACTAGAGATGAACATAGTCGGACTTTTGTGAGGTATTCGTATTCAGATCCGTCTTACTTCGATCCTGAAAAATCATGGTTCCACAACACCCAAGTTTTATTTTCCTTCCTTTTAGTTTAAATTCAACGTTTGCCCACTTTTCAATTCAAGAATTAGGAAAGTCATCCTATTGCAACGAGTTGCAACAATGAACAGCTAGGCAATAGGTCCTTGGTGCTTCAAGCTTTAGGATCCCCAACCATTTTAGATGTTGTATGGCCCATACACTATGGCTGAACCAGAACAAGCAACTGCTAAGTAAAGGCACCCACATTGTGCTTACTTCCACCCATTGTAGGAGCTGAAATGACAAAAAGGTGCGGTTGAGATTTAACTAAATCTCATTTAGTCAAATCTCAACCGTTCACTTTTGAAAAAAAAATGCGGTAAAGAGAATTTCTGCCCTTTTAGATGCTACATGTGGCTGAACAACAGCTAGCAATTGCTAAAGATCAGCAAACAGAGGATCGACCAAAATTTTATTATCGCAATCGAAACACGGTTCACTACATTTAATACGGTGCATGGTATCACTCAAACTTCCATGTCTTCCGAGGTAATATAATTTCTCTTAGAGGGAGCTGGGATTCCTATTAACTAAGAGCTTCGGTCGACAAAGTGCTGGAGTAAAGCTTGTAAGCCATGACATGATTCAAACATTTGGTCTCCAAATTATTCAAGTAGGCTTCTCATACGAATTCTGGTCTCTAAATTCTGCAATGGCGCTTCTTATCATCTCGGCAGCATGGGGCTGCACAAAAAGGTGAGTGCTATCCAAGACATGTATTATGAACCTCTGCGAAGCTGGCAGTGAATTGTCGTAATTGATGATGAATTGCGCCATAGGTATGTCACTGCACAGGAGAAGCACAAATGCTTTCAGAAACAGGGAAGAGAGCAGGACATGGTCAAGACGCAACTAAAACTATTCTTTAAGGATGAACCAAACAGCAGGATTAACAGGTAATAAAAGCCTAAAGATACAAACTCCACAGAAATCACTTCACAGGATAAATCAAAAACTATTTGAGGATTGCGCTTTGTATCATCATAGAATGTACACAAGTCAGGAGCTTTAGATCCAAGTGCTCACTTTCAAATCAAAAACACTATTGTGAATCAGTGATGACCGGACACTCCGTTGTAGCTACCAATAGAAAACAAGTCAAACCTAAGACCCAAAAGAGAAAGAGAACTGCCAACCCAATGACAAGACAATTTTTAAGCAAGACAGATTTTAAACTTGTCATTCTATGCATTGAAGTAGATTTCTAAATATATAAAGGGGAGGAGGAACCACAACCTGTTAACCATGCTAAATTCTGCAAAGTTAATAAAAGCGCACTACAAAATTGGTACAAGTATCTTACCAAGAGATGAACAGTCCTTTAACAGCGTTCACCATCATACATCAGAAACCTCAAGATTCTTAACTGCAACACAAACAAAAGCCAAGATATGAGAAAATACTTGGATTATACTAACTCTTAACATGGTATAATTACCATAAGTACATAATTAAAAGATTAAATCCACAATACATTGCCTGAATTATTATTTTACGATAGAATACCAAATCTGAAATATAAATTTGTTTGTAAACACATCATACCGAAAAGGCATAAATATGCAATTAAACCACATCAGTTTATGAGCCAAAGTAGCAAACCCAATTCCACAAAAAGGAAAAACAGATTCAAAGATCTTTTGCAGAACCCCAAAGTCCCCAAACACATCGAAGCTAAAAAATGGATTGATAAACAAGATCGGCAAGCATTCAGGAGGAAACAAGCTCGAATTTTGAAGGTCAAGATTGGCATACCTTTTGTTGCAGAGGTGGTCGGAGATTTTGTCCGTCTCCGTCTGTACTAACAATGCACAATAATATATCACAACACAATTCATATCCAAATCAATTCAACATTCCAATTGAATTCACTAACCAAATTCACCAAATTCAATTCAATTCACAATCCAAGTCAAAATTCACCAAATTCAATTCCAAAGCAACACAATTCAATTTATTAGAAAACTAACCTGCGTCAAACGGAGGCCTCTGATTATTTCAATTCAATTCCTAATTGCCTTCTTGTAAGTGGAGGCCCCTGATTAATTCAATCCAAACCTGCATCAAAATCCCAAATCAAAGAATGAGATAATATCCCAGATTGTGTAAAAATTAAACAGGAAATGGAATGCAAATGGAAATTTTCCTACAGTTTCACAGTCTGAGATGGGGGTGTTTAGATTCGATGTGCGCACGATAGCAGCTCCACAGTCTCAGACGTGCTAACAGAGGCGCACGGTGCGAAGTTCGCGCGGCTGGGTCTGTGGCTGGGCTTGGGATGAAAGGACCAAAGAGCCTTTGAAACGCTTGCAAAATTAATACCCCTTTCAACCTAGTTGACAAACTCCATTTGTAAGGAACATGAATCACCGTTAAGTCAATAATAGAGTCAAAGCTAGCTGACGTGGCAAGATCTGAGTGACTATGCAGTGCTACAACCAAACACGAATACGAGGATCTTCTCCGGATCTTAATCAAATAGGTAAATTGTGAGGATTCAGAAGATCTTTTAATCGTATTCTTTTATTGTAACAATTAGTTTTTGTCAGGTATTATTTGTGTTCAATTTTAAATAAATAATTTAAAATAATTTTTTACCACGCAATGTACAATGAATGAATCCGGAGAGGATCCTTATTCAACCAAACACAAAGAAGAAGACCCCAAAAATTCTATCCAAAACAATTAAAAAGAGAGGCTCTAATTCTATCCTCATCCCTCTCTCAATGCTTGCATGTGCTTACACACACTCTCTACCTCTCTAGCAGCAGCAACCAATATGGATATGGGGGGAAGGACTAGTACTAGTACTGGCAAGGAGCAGAGAACCCAGAGATGAGTGCCTCCGTTTCCATCACTGCCCTCATTGCCTCTAACTCCGCCGCCGCTGCCGCCACCACCAGCAACCTCCACCGCAAAACTACTAATGCAGCTAAATCAACAATTTTCACCTCCACCTCCAATACCAAGCCTCATTTTACTGCCTCCTCTTCCTCCTCCTCCCATTACCACCATCCTTTCATACTGCGAGGTACCTACTTAATTACCCTTTCATTTGCAATTCCCTCTCTATTCTACATCTCATGTTCTATATAATATATGCCACCACTTAGTACATTTGGTTTCAAGATATACAGAATACATAAAAACAGTCTAGTGATTTACGGCTCAAAATTAGAGTGATGAAATAGAATTCTGGAAGTAGGGATCTATCGGCAGAAGCAAAGAAGAAGCAGCGTTTGAAGAATCATGGCTTCAGGGCGGTCGATCTGAGATGGCAGACGATCAATTGGAGAAGGGCAGAGAAATCGTCACGCATTTCCTTATTCATGTTTGTGTTATGTATGGGCTGGGTTTCGCACTTCTTGGTTGGATTCTTTGCTTGGTGGAGAAATTTTGATAATTTACCTATTTGATTAAGATATGAATTTGATTTCCTTGACTATTAAGTCTTGGATTGACTTCCTGTTAGTATTTGCACTGTTTAAGTGCTATACTCTAGATAGGGCCTTAGAGTTGGTTTACTTTTGTTGTGAGGCGTATTTGTAAGAGTCAGTTTGTGAGTTGTTTTAGGGTTTGAAATTTGTGGGATTTGGGATGTGAGAGTTAAACACTCTTTTGTAATCTCCGTTTATTTAGTAAGAGGTAAACATCCTAGGCTTTACGTCGAACCGCATTAATCTCTTGTGCTTTTCTTTTTAGATTGTTTCTTTGCTTTCTTCTACGACGTTAATATTTGGTACTTTGTTGGAATTTGCTTCCATTTGCATATAAAAGTGAAACAAACATCTAGCTAGAAACAAGATTAACATCTAATTAATCAGCAGGAATGGGAACTTTTCTTTTACTCCAAATTTCTGATTAGAGGTAGAGGTAGACTGTCATAGTTCACATTACATGTAAAGTTCAATTGATTGAATTCATCAACTCATTCAACGAATTATACTTTTTCCTTAGTAACATATCCTGTGAAACATAGTTTAACTAGCGTAATAAAAGTTTGAGTAAATTAGCTTGTACCTGATCATGTGGCGGGGTGCATGCAGTGACAAATGATCCGACTAGCAGTAGTAGTACTAGTGAATCAGAATTGTCAGCGACGGATGAAAGAACAGTGGCTGATAGAATTGTTGATGGATTGAACTTTGGGGAGCTATGCAATGAGTTTGAGTGCATTAGTAGCCCCTTGGTGGAGTCTACAGCTCGACAACTTGTACGCGATATCCTTGAGCTACGAGAAGGCAATCGCGCCCTTGGAACCTTCGCTGTTTCTGTTAAATACAAGGTATATAACTAATACTTAACATGTAATGTGTTGTGGTATATGTGCTTATATATACTCGGTTAGTAGATCTAATGCTTTATATGCTCTCAAGCTGACCAGTTAAGATTGGTTAATTATGATATTGTAGGATCCAGTTCGAAGTTTTAGCGGCCGTGATAAGTACAAGAGACCGCTATGGATAACCAGTGCACTAGAAAAGCCCTCTGTCGTGAGTCTTCTGAATTCATCTTTATTTTTTATTTATTTTTGTAATTCCTTGTATAGCAAGCAACAGAAATGCAAGATCAAAACTTCTTTCGTTGTTATTGTTACATACGAACAGAGTGTGCAAGAAATGAGCATGTTATCAACGAGTGTCCTAAGTATCAAGTGGACGATCAAAGGGAAGGCGAAGAACATTATAGGAGGAGACTTGATCGTAAGAATAAATTCCCAGTTCACTCTAAACCAGATAAGTGGACAAGTCATTGAACATGAAGAGTTTTGGGATTTATCAGCTTCCTCGGCCATTGCGAAAGCATATTTCTGGACATCACGCCGTCTTTATGCAACAATCGAGGGTGGAAAAGACTTGGCTGATCTTGCTAAAACCATTTCCAGTAAGTTCCCCAGAGAAAAACAGAATACAGAAATTTATCCAGACCCTTCAGGCGATCCAACTAAGGTAAGTGATTAAACAAACGAAACACAAATACTTTATTCGTTCATACGCTAAAGATCCTTCCTTTTTTTCTATCTTCAATCGATTGACGCATCGTTTGCATGTTAATTTGATTCAGTTCTTTCAAAGGGATGACGGTTTCCAGAGAGATGTATACCAAATTGGACTGTTTCTGGCACTGGTTTATTTTGTTGTACAGCTTTTGAGGACAACCTTGTAATGTAAAGGCTCCCTCAGGAGAGATTCTCTCATGCAAACAAGTTTTAGTCGCAGTAGCGTCACCGTCCATACCCTTTCCTCTTTACACTTGCAATACAGGCAGAATATATACAATACATTTGAAATATTTGAGACTCGTTAACTATAATAAAAATATGAGTTTTGATACAACAACGTTGCAACCAACAATCCGCAGCAAGAGTGAGAAGCATTGTAGCATACAATAATACCAGTCTTCTTTTTTATTTTTTATTTTTACAGTACCTCATCCCAATCATCTAACTCTCCGATTCTGCAAAAGGTGTGCGGATTTCATTTCCTTTCCTGATCTGTTAGTATCAACACTATATGCTATAGAATCCTATTCCCGGATAGTATGCCGATTGCTGCTCATCCCAATCGTATGTTCTAATCAAAGGCATGCACTGCATCCTTCAGAGATATCAACCCAACATTATGAGTTAATCAATTTCCGAGGACAATGAGGCTCAAATGTAAATCGCAAACAAGCTTATCCCAGAAAAATGGATAAAAATAAAGAGGTCGAACCAGAAAGGGTGGACAAAAATTATCACCACCTGGAAAGACAGATCAAGGGCAAGGAATGAGTGGGCTGCTGTGACACTTCTGGTTGAATTAAACCAATATTTGCAGCATGGAAATCACTAACAAGAAGAATGCCAATAACCTTCCAGTCATCAGACCCGAAGCTGAAGAAAGATTGTGGGCACCGACCGAGTACACCTGCCCCGACTTCTCATCTTTCAATTTGATGCTTGAAGTACCTAAATCAAAACAAACCGAAAAAGACATAAGATAATGAAACACAAGATTAAACACTGTAACGATAAAAAAAATGAATGGGATGCTACTCACAGTTGTAGTCAGTCCACCCAATAGCTTGGTTTTCGATATCATACAGGACTAGCTTATTCGAAAGTACTAAATCTGCAAAATTGGAACAATGAAAATATTCGATGAATAGGATCCAATTCACGTGAAAAATAAACCAACTAAAAAATATGTCTTTGACTTGTGATTCAAGGCTCTACCTCCCAGAATAGTCATGGACTTTCCGTCTTTAGATTTCATGGAGTTGGTTTGCCAACCAGAACACCAGACATCATCCTGTGTATATGTCATGACAAATGTAAATTAGTTAAGATCTCACGGAACAAGGTCAAGGTAATTAATTTTGTTTGAGAATCCAAAACACTTGCCTTTAACTGGAACAGATAATCATGAGGATATGCAGTCAACACAGCAGAATTCTTGAAATTAAACTTCACAACTGGAAATCCATCATCAACACTGCAAGAACAACGCACAAGGAAAAGTGAGGTTGGTTTCAACAACCCTCGCTGCTCTTCGTATATTCACATGCTTTGCTTAAGTTAATCTGCAAATGTAATAGCTAAGATGACAATGCTTACTTTCTGGAATACTCAAAACATGTAAACTGCTCGTCAACAGTATGCTTTTTCAATCCAGACTGTCGAGCATATATCTGATTTACCAAAAAATTACAATGTCGGGTTTTACAACCAAAAAGGAAAGCAATGTAATTACTTAGACAACAAAATCAAAATGGAGAGTAAAAAAATCTTCAGTGACCACCTTTTTCATAAAAGGTTCATAAAACTCCGGTGAAAGATAAGCCAAGGTTGTTCCACTGTCAATTACTACCCCGTTCCGGTCTTCGAAAAGGCCAAATAAATCCGTGGGAAGATCTACAACATCGCCACCCACTTCAACGGACTTCACCGTAACAGTATAATGTGGCCTGAGATCATTTCAACAAAAATAAATTATCACAAATTTCATATGCGAATTACAGCATATTTTTTAATGAAGTTAAGTATTACGAAGCATTCTGAGATTGTGTGACATACAGATTTGGTATCAGCGGAGTTGTGTTTTTCACTTTTGGTTCCACCACTTCCCCAATGGCCCAAATTCCACCACCTTTCACGTTATCCAAGCAGTGCGCGAATTGTTTTTTCACCTTTCCAGATGAAGACAGCTGCGAAATTACGGATGCATTTGCCTGTCCAAAACCAAGTATCCCATCAACTCCTCCAGGAGATTTACCAAGATTCCCAGATTGTTTAGCTCCGCACCTATTCCACAACACACACAGCTTAATACACACAGCAAGAGCATAGCAACAATGAATTATGCAAATTCAAAGTCAGCCAATTCAAACAGACAACGGGAAGCAACAAAAAAGACGCTGAATGTAATCTCGTTTTGTATCTCTTATTAAGCTAGTATTAGTATGACAAAGGCGCAAAACTCACCCGAATACTATGGTTCCATTTGTTGAGGTTGTTTGATGATTTCCAGTGACTTTATCAAGTTGGATATTGTCCTTGACATAGTAACCAGAAGTTGTGCTTCCATCTCCGTACGAGATACTATAATTGCAAAGCATATCTGCCTTGCAATCAGGAAGTTTACCGTTGAATGAGGAAGTGCAGAACTCTTGATCACATGTAACCTTGCTTGAAGTTGAAGAGCTCTTTGCATCATACATTGTGAGCTTAAACTGTATCACAATAACAATAACGATAAGTGCTGTGGAGATCATCAAGTAGGGCAAAAAAAGAAGGCAAGGGTGGAGGCAAACGTACGCCAAGATTATTTTTAGTAGGACAGTTGCTGCACTCTGCACAATTCACCCATAAAACGTCACTTCCTGTATCAACTTGCACATGAAAGTCCTTTGAAGGAGAGCCAAGTCCGATTTTCGCGATGTAGAGCCTAAATCCAGTCAGGCAAATGCAATCTATAAGTATCATAAAAATTAAATTTGCACCCAACTGAAAACTATGACAACATAAGTACACATGATGCAACCTATGAAACAAGCCAATAGACTCCAATTCAATAGAACGGATGAAAGAAGACCAAACGGGTTCGAAATATAACAGTGAAAAGACGTTCAGTTCAAAATTTTACCCTTGAACCAATAAAAACAAGACTAACAAACCGCAAGAACAGATTTTTATTTTTTAATTTTTCAAAAGGAGAAAGAAGAGACAATTTTCTTCAATTGATATTAATTTACCAAAGCTCCCAATACATAGAAGGGGCGCAGTTGCTTATAAATATTAAGCTTTTAATACAAAGATATTTTACTAATAAACGGGGAATTAGGTATCGAACTGTAGTGCTAGCGGCAGATATGAATACATATTAAGTTAAGCAAGTAGATTATATAACAGTAGAAGTAGAGAGATTGCCTTAATTTACCAACATTAGCAATTTAACATTACTAATGAAATTTGATGTTAAGACAACAAAGGAAAAAATTTGAAAAAGAGACAATTAATTGTGGATGAAGGAAAGCAATAACGCACCCGGCTTCAGAAGGATGGCCATTGCCACCTAATTGCAAATCTATAGCGGAGTCTGCGCCGGCGAGAAGCCTCCGGTGACGGCGAGCATCATGTTCTTTCCATGCACCCAAAGACACCTGCTTCCCAGGACCCTTAAACTTATGGTTCACCGGAAACACCATGTTACTCGAGACATTTACCGCCAAAGCGAAAAAAACCAGAAAACCACCCAACACCGCTACTCTTATCCTTGCTGTTGCCGCCATTTCGAAAAATTTAAGGTCACTTAACCAAACCAAGATTGAATAAAAGAAAATGTTTGGATTGGACCCGACAAACAACAGCCACCTTTTTTTGCAGACAAAACCCGGATTTTGGAATGATTGGTGATAAGTTGGATTACAAAATGTGGGTTTTATGGGAAAATCATGGCCGAGTTGGGTGGAGAAACGAGCAGGCAACAAGGTGGGTGGCCCGGTGGGGAGAGAGAGGGTGAGAAAGCATATGATGTGTAAACAGGGAGTTTATGCAAGAAAGAAAAACGGAGAATCGAAAGAGAGAGAGAGAGAGAGAGAGAGAGAGATTGTTGGGGGATTTCAATGGCAAAAGACACGTCTTTCCAAAATAGTAAATTACGTCAACTTTGTAATTGTTTTACTTTTTTTGACTAATTTTCACATTTGGTCTTTTGGTTTCGTTGTCGATTTTCTGATTTGTTATCTGGTTTTTTTTTTTGGTCAAAGCTCCAGAGAGCAACATTTATTACAAACCAAAAACACAAACTTTACAAACAAACAAAAACAAACTTACCAAAGGCTAAAAGCTAGCATATGAACAAGCAAAAAAATGGGCTAAAGAAAAACAAACAAAAGCACAGCTCAAGCAACAGTTTGAGCTCAGAAGAGAAAAAAAAAAACAGTTCGAGAAATTGACTGCAGCCACTGCTGCAACGTTCGAGCACGATCAGTCCAATTCCACTCCTCCAACCTCATGCTAGCTCGCCGATTGTAACATCCAACTCCAAGCACCACCAGGTACGCAACCTCAATTGAAGAAATCCAACAAATCCAGCTACTAGAAGAAAGAAGCCTGTGAGAACCCACAGGCAATGCCGATGAAGGTAGACATAGAGGAGAAGGTGGTGGTGTTAGGAAGAGGGACGTAGGTGGGACGAGTAGAAAAGGGCAAATCGAAATAGAGAGTAAGGGGAAAATGCAGTTGAAGAAAGGAAAAGGAGACAACGAGAGAAAGGGGAGAACGGCTAACGAACCCCAGCCGAAGCTAGGATCGGTGCCACCAGATATGTGCATATTTGAAGCTATCACACAGACAGTGAGAAGAACTCTCAAACTAAGAGAAAGTCTCTCACAAGGAGAGAAAAGTGGTGCCGCTACATGATGGATATTCTTCAGTTTTGGTTTTGGAATTTGGAGGGAAACCTTAAATCTTTTGCTTCAAGCCTTTCACCTCTCTTTCTCTCTCTCTCTCTCTCTCTCTCTCTATTGTTTTATACATGTCATATACCGAAACATGATGGAACTTTTAGCAAGGCGTAACCTCAAAATATATTATCCAAACTGAATTAGATATAAAAGAAGTGATTTTGGCATACATCTTCTCTGATCCTCCAAATCCTAAAGAGTTGTGAAGATGGTCCACTGTACGCGGCGCCCTACTCCTACCCGAACCACTCTGCTTATCAGCTTATGCTAATTGCTATGCTTGGATCACACACGGGGGACATGCCGGGTATATAATTTCTTACTAGTACTTGGAATCACAAACTAACTATATATGTTCATCAAATTGGACTGCCAAATGACAAGGTGTTTGTACTTGGTTATAAACGTTTCTTTTTGCACTCGAGGTTACCAATCAAATCCTCACTTATTAATATCATTTGTACAAACCTAATAGGGTTTAAAGTTTTGGAACGTGAGATTCAATTTTGAGAACTAGTTTTATTCATAAGAAGTGATTTATGCACACCATTTTATTCTCATACATACCTATATTTATTTCTGGTTTTTAGACTAAATAAATGAAAGAAGAATAAAAAAGACATAAGTGAGAATAAGTTTACAGATGGTAAAAATGGTGCGTGTAAATTATTTTTCTTTCTCATTTATGTCGATGAGGTAAAATATACTTCTTGAAAAATGTACAAAATAAATATCCCATGACTATTTTAGTCTGCTCAAAATCTATAGACTAAAAGTAAAAACCATATAAGGCATCATCATTTCCATTTCCTCCATCACTTTCACCTTCCCAAAAGCTCTCCCTTAGTCCCTCCCCATCCACACCACTCATTCGTATCACTACAATCCGATAAACAAACCACAAAATTTGAACTCTCGCATTGACTAAAATACCCCGATATTTCCCACGTCAAACCGAAAACCAAAAGTGGCATTCCGTCATTTTGCTTGAACAAACTATTCTACGCGACGAAAACGCCCCCAACCTTCCCACAAACAGCCCAAAGCGTCCAAGGGCAATGCTGGCATTCCATTACCGCGATCGCCAGGCCTCCATCCACAAAACACGTTGGGTGAGGTGACGAAAATGAAAGCGAATATGTCATGAGATCCCACGAACCAGAGGACAAATCAGTCATTCCAAAATCACCTCTCTCCTCTGTAATATAGTCGTTTGATAATCTCTGGCTGCAACTGATTCACTGGGCTCTCCTCTCTTCTCCATCACAGAAAATGGCTCTGCAGTCAGCCGCACTCTCTCCTCGCTCCATCGGCGCATCCACGTTGCTACCCTGCTCCGCCAAGTACCCGATCATTTGCTCCTCCTCTGCTCCCAGTTCGAGCTGCTTCCTTTCGCAGAGGAAGAATGCAGCTGCGGTTGGAATTGGATTGAGTAAGAGGAAGATGGGCTCCTGGGGGTGTACGGTAAGGTCGAACTTGGACACTGTCGGTCCCACTGTGAATGTTGGCCAAGTCACGGAGGTCGACAAGGACACCTTCTGGCCCATCGTCAAGGCCGCCGGCGACAAGACCGTCGTCCTCGACATGTATACCCAATGGTATGTCTGTTTATGCTTATACTTCCACTTTCTGATTGGTTCCCGAGAAAATCCAGGAATAAATTCGAAAGAAAAGGAAACGGAAATTAAGAAAGCAAGAAAATTTAAGCAAGTTTTCGGCTAATTTCGGAAAAAAAATTGGTGAACTGATCAGTTTTAAACGAATAGTGAAGTGTAATTTGAAAGTTTATGATTTTGTTTTAGTGGAATTTCAGAATGTTGATTTCAGCTCTAAGTTGCTTATATAAGATATGTTGTTACAAACTTTTTGAGTTTTGAGATGCTAGTTCCCCACACCGTTCGGGTGATTCGAATTGGTTCTGCATGCTGTAGTATTAGGTAAGCCTTTGGAAATTGAATTACTGTAACCCGGGACAATACTTGCACCGAGTCTGGCCTAGCTTGTTCGTTGATTAGGGTGACCCCTTTGTTGATTTTCTGCTCATTTACCGGCATCATGTCGAGAGTCCTGGTTAATTCCCACCTCCAACATGATCCTTTCCTTGTTTTGATTCCATATACATGCACCTACGCTTGAATGGATCTCAGTTATTCTACATTTACGGGATCCAAAATCGTCATTTACAAATACAGTACAGACATGGAAGATAGAAAGGTGGGAGTAACTAAAGCTTTGGTCTTTGAGTAGTAGTTCAGAACCTTCGGATCGATCTTGGACTGTATTTTAGATCATCAGCTTCTCATTCTATCTGTGTTACTTATGTCAAGATGAAGATGGTGATATACTGTGTTTCAACTTTGTTCTGTATTCCATAGAGGAGCGGGGACATGTAACAAGTGAATAACAATAAAGAAGAAACGTTCGCATATATGCCTGATACGCGTAATTGTATTTACTTATAACGATCGTTATTAAGGTCAAGGCATATGTAAACCTGCAGTAGATTCATCGCCTCTTCAGTTTTATTTTCTCGTCCTGCTTTTGCTTCTTCGCCATTTTTAAAGCTTGAGATTAGTTACTCCATCGTTCTGTGCAGGTGTGGACCTTGCAAAGTGATGGCTCCAAAATTTCAAGAATTGTCCAAGAAGTATCTTGATGTCGTATTTTTGAAGCTTGATTGTAACCAAGAAAATAAGGTTGGTTGGTTCCATCTGTCATGCTTGAATACTTTTTACTCAAGTGCGTTGCTGTGCTCTGTCTTATGTTAAAACGGTGATTGTTTCTTGTTAGCAGCCATTGGCGAAGGAGCTTGGGATAAGGGTGGTGCCAACTTTCAAGATTTTGAAGGACAACAAGGTTGTAAAAGAGGTGAAGGGGGCCAAATTCGACGATTTAGTTGTTGCTATAGACGCTGTTAGATCGAGCTAAACCCTTTAAATTTTCTCCGTGAGATGTTAATAACGTAAAGAAAAACGTCCGCCGGAGCTGACTACTGTACTTGTATGTATCCATGTGACGCTTTCTTTGCAATTGCAGTTGAAATTTGAGTGAAGGAATGTAAGCAGGTCAGTATGCCTTCTTAGAAAGAGCTTATGGTGTTATTGAAATTACAGTCCTACCCCTAAGTGCTTGGTGGCCTATGCATGTTGCAAGCCAATGAAATGAGGCCACCGTAACACAGTGATGCGAAGGTAAAAGACAATATAACCCTTGGGATGTTTCCAATATAACAACCATACATTCACCCACCCAAGCTGCAATCTGCATTCTGCGGTGTCTCAATCTTCTAGAGAGAAGATTGTCAGTCCATTTTTACAGATCCCACGAACACGATAAAGTTAAAAATTCAAATGCCAAGAGAAAGTCAAAGGTCAAATTTAACGGTTGATCTTTCCTTCGTTTTCTCTTTCTCTCCCTAAAACCCAGAACAAGTCGCAGAAGAAGAAGAAGAGAAGAGGAAAGAGAGAGAAATCAGAAATGTGTGGGATATTTGCGTATCTGAATTACAACGTCAACAGAGAGAGGCGTTACATTCTGCAGGTGCTATTCAATGGCCTGAGGCGTCTGGAATACCGGGGCTACGATTCCGCCGGGATTTCAATCGACCGTTCTTATTCCTTCGATCCAAACACCCCCCAATCTTCCCCGCCTCCCCCCCTCGTTTTCCGCCAGGAGGGAAATATCGAGACCCTCGTCAAATCCGTCTACCAAGGTAACTCCTTTCTTTTTTTGGTAATCCCAAGGTAACTCCTTTCATTCTCAAATTTTCTATTGTTTTTCCATGTTTGTTTGTTTCTGCATTCTGTTTGGTTGCCGAGAAAATGGTTTAGAAAATTAACATTTA